CGTCGACCGGCACGGCCGATGTGGGCGGCGGCGAGGACGACCGCCGCAGCAGCAGCAGTCGCGGTAGCGGTGGCAGCGGCATCGGCAGCGACAGCAGCAGCGGTGGCAGGAGCGGCGATGACGGCGGCAACGACAGCAGCAGTGGCAGCGACAGCGAGACGGATCTCCCGGCGCTCTGTAGACCAGAGACCCGGCGGCTCGCCCATTTCGACAAGCCGACGGAACTCACCGGCCGCCGCACTAGGGAACCCTCGCCGAAACCCGAGGTACGAGTCGCCCCCGTCGCCGACAAGTGCCGAAGCCCTGCTCGCCTCGGTGGCGAGCCTGCCCGACAGCAGCACGGAGGAGTTCACCCGCTGGATGCTCTCGGCAGTACTTCACGTGGCGGAGGGGCTAGAGGCGAGGGTGGTGCGAGAGTTGCTGTCCGAGCGCGCGCAGGAGGCCCACGCTGCGCGCCAAGAGGCGGAGGATTTCCTGCTGGGTACGGTGGACCTCATGCTCAACTCGCCAGACGCCTTCGAGACGGCTCTGACGTCCCACGAGCTAATTGAACGCCCCACAGGGCCGAAGCGAGAGGATGAGGAGGGAGGGGAGTGGCCGGTGAGGGAGACAGTCTGCAGTATCACCGGCGCAAGCTGATGAATTTGCTGGAGTAGCTGTAGCAGTTTGTAGCATTTGGGAGAGGCCATGTTTTCTATGCGGGGAAAGGCGCATGACTAGTGCGGTCTGTGTACCAATGGAAGGAGTAGGGGGCGTTGGGAGACCATCGTCCGGGGGAACGTAGTTCCTCGCGTTTTTGTCTTCGCCTTGGCCTTTCTAATCAGTGCGGCCGTTGTGATCCGCTGTGATAGCGACGGTTTTTTTTGTGGTGGTAGGGTTTTTCCTTGAGGGGTTTTGCCCGGACACCGGGTTTCCCCTCCATATATTACCATGTTGGTATTTTCTGATATATCCTGGGGCGTTCGTGCCCAATGATGGTTAGTCACTTGCGTGAAGAACCAGGGAGGGTGTTCGTGAGTCTGCGAACATTGCTGTTGGATACATGTGCTGGATGATTTTGTGTCACGCAGACTGGTAAGATAACCGTTTGATAGGGGGCACCGCGATGATTCACGGCCCCCCTCCTTGCTGTGGGAGCCGCTCTTTGACACTTTTGTTGAGTACTCCCTCTTTCGTCCGTGTGAAGGACGGTCGTCTACCTCCCGTGAAGTTAATACATCACCAAAACAGTCTCACCCGATAAATAAGTGGCGTAGGCCGCAAACAGGACGCGGAAGCGTCCGCGAAGCGCCAGCGCGCGAGGGAAGCAGAAGCAGAGAGTACGGCCTCAGGACCGAAGAGAAAAAGAGCAGGGGAAGCGGCGGTGGGGGGAAGAAACGGCGACCGGGCACTGCGGTAGAAGCGAGTAGGGCGGCCGAGGCAGCACTTGTGGCGAACTATGTACCCGGCTGATGNCAGGGGAAGCGGCGGTGGGGGGAAGAAACGGCGACCGGGCACTGCGGTAGAAGCGAGTAGGGCGGCCGAGGCAGCACTTGTGGCGAACTATGTACCTGGCTGACGCTGTTGCGCCCTGTTTCCCTCCCTGCTGTATGCTATACTCCTTTATGTATGTCCTTTGTATTGAAAGCTTCATCCTTCGATGTCACAGCAGTGCTGTTTGGCATTGCGGAGAAACTGAGCTTCGTGTCCCATGGCACCAACGACGGACCATTGTATGCACACGTGCCTGGCGAATCTACTGCTGCTGTGCAGGTATGTGCGTTGCCTATGCACTGATGTGATACCTTTTGAGCCAACCGGTGCAAAGCGTTGTTGTGAACGAACACGTGAAATTGTCGGCATTTAGCAGCACAAGGGTCAGTTGTGTTGGGTCTGTCTNATGCACACGTGCCTGGCGAATCTACTGCTGCTGTGCAGGTATGTGCGTTGCCTATGCACTGATGTGATACCTTTTGAGCCAACCGGTGCAAAGCGTTGTTGTGAACGAACACGTGAAATTGTCGGCATTTAGCAGCACAAGGGTCAGTTGTGTTGGGTCTGTCTTGGCGTGGTCACAGCACCAGCAGTATAGAAGCGTTCGTTTACGGCGATGTACTGTAGATTCGAAACACGCTACTGGTGTACGACACATTCTTGTAGCCCACCTTTGAGTCGACTATGTAGGGGCGGTGCTTGCGTGGAGCTACAATCTAGGGATGGATGAGCAAACCCTGTCGTACTTTGTCGGAAGGGTTTTGAAGGAGACACCCAACTTGAGACGACCCCCCTCTTTATGCTCGTTATTAACGCTTCGGAAAAGTCGTGCAATTTTCCACGGAACGGTGAAAAGAAAACCCGTATTTTTTCGCTTGATTTATTCTTGATGTCATCGCAAAAGTACGTTTCCTTCCCAAGGCGGTTTCTTACGGTTTGAAAAATTCCAGTTGAAAAATTGAAATTTTTCAATTCCCAGATCCAACTCGGAAAATCTCACTCAATAATAGGGCAGCCTTCTTACGGATCGGCGGAATTGGAAACGCTAAACACAGCGAGGGGGGGGGGGGGGGGG